CTCTCTTATGTTCCCTGATCTCTTTTTTGCCTATTTCTCTCTCACTCTAATGTTCCCTGATCTCTTGTTTTTCCATTTCTCTCACTCTTATGTTCCCTAATCTCTTGTTTGTCAATTTCCCTCACTCTTATGTTCCCTGATCTCATGTTTGTCCATTGCTCTCACTCTTATGTTCCCTGATCTCATCTTTGTCCATTTCCCTCACTCTTATGTTCTCTGAACTCTTGTTTGTCTATTTCCCTCACTCTTATGTTTCCTGATCTCATGTTTGTCCATTTCCCTCACTCTTATGTTCCCTGATCTCATGTTTGTCCATTTCTCTCACTCTTATGTTCCCTGATCTCATGTTTGTCCATTTCTCTCACTCTTATGTTCCCTGATCTCATGTTTGTCCATTTCTCTCACTCTTATGTTCCCTGATCTCATGTTTGTCCATTTCCCTCACTCTTGTGTTCCCTGATCTCTTGTTTGTCCATTTCTCTCACTCTTATGTTCCCTGATCTCGTGTTTGTCCATTTCCCTCACTCTTATGTTCCCTGATCTCATGTTTGTCCATTTCTCTCACTCTTATGTTCCCTGATCTCATGTTTGTCTATTTCCCTCACTCTTATGTTCCCTGATCTCATGTTTGTCCATTTCCCTCACTCTTATGTTCCCTGATCTCATGTTTGTCCATTTCTCTCACTCTTATGTTTCCTGATCTCATGTTTGTCCATTTCTCTCACTCTTATGTTCCCTGATCTCATGTTTGTCCATTTCTCTCACTCTTATGTTTCCTGATCTCATGTTTGTCCATTTCTTTCACTCTTATGTTCCCTTATCTCATGTTTGTCCATTTCTCTCACTCTTATGTTCCCTGATCTATTGTTTTCCCAGCTGGTCCTGAAAAGCAAACCGCCTGAGGAGGTTGTGGAGACAGAATCGAATGCTTCACTCGATTTCTCTTTCATGGATTTCCCGATCCTGGAAGATCCCACCGAGGATCTGAGACACGCATTCCTGGCCAAGAAGTACAAGTACCTGCTGGATGGCATCGCTTACCTGATCCATTGTCCAGAGAAGCCTTACCTGCTGATCCGTGAGCTCGTCCTGTTGATCTGTGTCGTCTGGATCAGTCGTTCTCATGTCCGAAGCATTGTTGATTTGTTTCGTTTAGATCAACTTTCTCATATCTGAAGTATTGTTGATTTGTGACGTTTAGATCGACGTTCTGATATCTGAAGTATTGTTGATTTGTGTCGTTTAGATCGACGTTCTCATATCTGAAGTATTGTTGATTTGTGTCGTTTAGATCAGCGTTCTCATATCTGAAGTATTGTTGATTTGTGTCGTTTAGATCAACGTTCTCATGTCCGAAGTCACAAAATTACAATTTTCGACAAAAGCGACATCTGTTGCTGCTGTTTACAGGCTAGAAATCTGACGTACGTGACTTGACCGTTGTTTCTGATATACGAAGCGCTGGAATAATATTTATTCGATGTCACATTTTGATTCTTATTGCTGACATGGAGAAAGTCTTTTCTCACAGATGTCACCAACAATCTGAAAGCTGTATAACTTAGAGATCAGTATTCTATTCTTGTTACGTGACTAGGCAGACATTTTTGGCTGTCCACCAGGACTTCCCCGAGGCTCACCAAGACTTCCCCGAGGCTCACCAAGACTTCCCCGAGGCTCACCAAGTCGTCTTCCCTGAGGCTCACCAAGACTTCCCTGAGGCTCACCAAGACTTCCCCTGAGGCTCACCAAGACTTCCCTGAGGCTCACCAAGACTTCCCCTGAGGCTCACCAAGACTTCCCTGAGGCTCACCAAGACTTCCCTGAGGCTCACCAAGACTTCCCTGAGGCTCACCAAGACTTCCCTGAGGCTCACCAAGACTTCCCTGAGGCTCACCAAGACTTCCCTGAGGCTCACCAAGACTTCCCCGAGGCTCACCAAGACTTCCCCGAGGCTCACCAAGACTTCCCTGAGGCTCACCAAGACTCCCCTGAGGCTCACCAAGACTTCCCCGAGGCTCACCAAGTCGTCTTCCCTGAGGCTCACCAAGACTTCCCCTGAGGCTCACCAAGACTTCCCTGAGGCTCACCAAGACTTCCCTGAGGCTCACCAAGACTTCCCTGAGGCTCACCAAGACTTCCCTGAGGCTCACCAAGACTTCCCTGAGGCTCACCAAGACTTCCCCGAGGCTCACCAAGACTTCCCCGAGGCTCACCAAGACTTCCCCGAGGCTCACCAAGGCGTCTTCCCCGCCCATCAGCGGACGGCGGCCCATGGATTGAAGAACACTTGTCTAGATCGCCTGTTAGTCATGCGTTCACCAAACGTGTAGCTCAATGAGATCTAGAAGAGGTTTGGTTTTGTTGCTCATTCAAACCTCAGAGAGGTTCAGTTACCTCTCGGCGCAAGGGTACAAAGTACAAATGCGCAGTGAGAGCGGATGAATTCTAAAACTACCTTGATGGTACCTGTGGTGACCCATTCTATGACACTGGATGCTACAATCGTTCGGGATATATGCAGACTGACTTGATACTGGTCAACCAGATTCTATCAGCCGTATAGTTCTGTCGGTCAAGTTGATAATGACCTTGACCAGATAGTCCTGTTGGTCAAGTAGATGCTGGTTACTTTAACCTGCCTTTCTGTCTGGTCAAGTTGATGCTGATCACGTTAACCTGCCTTTTCTGTCTGGTCAACTTGATGCTGATCACGTTAACCTGCCTTTTCTGTCTGGTCAAGTAGATGCTGGTCAATTCAAACTGCCTTTGCTGCCAGGTCAGGTTGATGCTGATCAGGTTCACTTGCCTTAGCTGTCTGTTCAAGTTGATCCACTGTGCGCCTCTTTTTGAATTCTAGACATATTGTAAACTAGGATGGAGCATTATAAATTCTAATGAATGCACACAAAAGGATATGGTCGGTCTTTTTATTCTTTTGCTGTACTTGCACGCAACATAATCCTGAGAGTTAATAACAGTAGCTATCGGAATAAGTTCATGAAAAGATTACAAAACCCTTCTATAGAACTTTACGTTTCCCGCGACACTGTATTTGACTGTTGTAAACATGAGCACATGTCCGAGATAAGAAGCTACACATAGTGAGTAAAGGACACTGTCATACACGCAATGACGATCAAAAAGTGTCTTCATATTTTCGCCCACAGTAAAACAAGAAGACTGCATTTTATTTTTAAGTTATTGAAGGAAGTTTGAAGTTTGAACTGTTACAGTTCAGGGTAAAATTGTTTAAAACATCAAGATAGCGGTCAATAAAACTGGTCTGGGAACGACAATCTTCAACAGATTGAAGATAATAGTGTCGGGATCTCTGCTGGAACCTTTCTTTCCTTGGCGGAAGTCAGGTGATAAATGCCAGATACAAAGAAAAAAAAAGTTGTAAAAAAATACGAACATTAGATACACATTAGATAAATAATTTATATATATATATATATATATATATATATATATATATATATATATATATATATATATATATATATATATATATATATATATATATATATATATATATATTGTCCATCCGACTCCTAGAGAAACAAATGTTTATATTGCTCCTCGTTCAACTGACTAGACGACTTTTTATATTAAGGAGGGTCTTCTTTGCTGTCTCATTTGTATTCCAGTACTTTCTGGTGTGTAGTTACACCTGATTGTTCTTCCTCTTAGTCTTCCATATCTGAGTGGTCTTGTAGGTCGTGCTGGCGTGCGGTCTTTCCCGGTCCTAGCGGGCTTTTGCTGTTATGTTTTTGGTGCTTAGATCTCCGTGTATCGATATCTGTTCTAGTGCCTTAACGCCAAGTTTTGAGTTTCTGCTCTGAAAGCCTCCCGGTGTATAGCCAACAAACATCTATTATATATATATATATCATTATGATACAGAAGCTATACCAACAGTCGTGAAAAGCTATATCTTATTGACGAAAAAAGATTCAACTTCCCATAGAGACTCAGGTGTGTTGCTTAGTTGTGGATGTCAGAGATTCTGTCATACGTAAGATGTGTTCCTGACCAAGGCTTAACTCACGCTACCCTACCATCTCCATGGAAACTGTTGTGCGATCCTCTTTTCCCGCCAAACCTGGAAACCAGCAGAGTGTACAAGGATGTCACAGCGACTGTCTCTATGCAGGAGAGCATTCACGCAATCAACCATTTTATGATTCAGTACCCCACTGAGGCACTAACTGTGATTAGGATGGCAATAGGGGTTATTTCCTTTACCTGTTTCCTTGTCAATAGGCTCAAACTCAACGCTTAAATTGAAATTCTGTGCTTTAATTCATTAATTCATTTATTTATTTATCAATCCATTCATTCCTTATCTTGTTGTGCCATTATGTGTCGCACAAGGCTTGCAGAGCATTCCATTTAGTTTTATCCTGAGCAATCATTTCAAAATCACAGCTTGAATCCAGTCCATTACCTTTGGCCTGTCTCCACAACCTTCATTTAGAGGCTTCTTTAGGGCAAGTACAAGGGATCAGGTACAGGCTGTGGATGGGCACACGCAGAAGGAACAAATGTAACATATGTTGTCAGAAGCCAATGCTTTATTTTCAGAGAAATCTCGTGAGCTCGACCGTCCCGGCAGAAGACTTGTGTTGCCAAGGGCGATCAGAGCTACCAGACCGGAAGTGTTTGCCACTACAGCACCGCCATTTGAAGGGTGATTCATTCATAAATAATAATTGTTCCTATTTTTAAGTCATCATCGCATCCACAATGTGAACCATCATGCAGATTTTAAGCTTTCAAACACGTTTTAATAAAGGTTCATCCTTAACGTCCATTGGCATCGTGTAGCAGGTCAACTGAAGAAAGTATGCACGTATGAAGAACGTCACGGCACACTGGGAAATGAAAGCATAATTACTATTTTTATTTGTGTGTGGATTTGTACTACAAATTAGCTACACTGTTGTCTCTGTGCCTTGATATTATTAGTATAAAGGTACACTGAATATTGTACACTGAAACATAATATTCGACATAATTTGTAGTGTGGTCACTATTACCTCGACAGTTTTTGCTTTCAGGGCATTTTTCTGAAACCAGTTTAATCCGAGTCTATGTGGAGATAAAGGACAAAAATAAGAAGCTCTATGGACTCAGTGTCCAGCCTAAGATCTGCTGGTAAACAGACGCAGTGTGCCGCCCAAGATCTGCTGGTCCACTGACGCAGTGTGCCGCCCAAGATCTGCTGGTCCACTGACGCAGTGTGCCGACCAAGATCTGCTGGCTCACTGACGCAATGTGCAGCCTAAGATCTGTTGGCTCACTGACGCAGTGTCCAGCCCAAGATCTGATAGCTCACTGACGCAATGTGCAGCCCAAGATCTGCTGGTCCACTGACGCAGTGTGCCGCCTAAGATCTGCTGGTCCACTGACGCAGTGTGCCGCCTAAGATCTGCTGGTCCACTGACGCAGTGTGCCGCCTAAGATCTGCTGGTCCACTGACGCAGTGTGCCGCCTAAGATCTGCTGGCTCTCTGACGCAGTGTGCAGCCCAAGATCTGCTTGCCCACTGACACAGTGTGCCGCCTAAGATGTGCTGGTCCACTGACACAGTGTGCCGCCTAAGATCTGCTGGCTCTCTGACGCAGTGTGCAGCCCAAGATCTGCTTGCCCACTGACACAGTGTGCCGCCTAAGATGTGCTGGTCCACTGACACAGTGTGCCGCCCAAGATCTGCCGGTGAAGAGACAAGCGCCCATCCTCTGGTGTTACTACGACTCCCAAGTAGCCTATGCATGGTGTATTAGCTCTGGAAGGGTGTTTTGACACTCCATGTCCAAAGTACACGAAGCAGTGACACAAGTGACTGACACCAGAGTTTGGTTAAAAACGCTGCTATGCGAAGGGCCGTCTAAATGAGCTGACTTAAAACCGCCATTTCATCACTCGAGACATTCCCGTAAGCGCCCCGTCCTCATCTTCAGCAGCTATTAAAGAGTTCATAACCTGATGGTATCAGTAGTATTTCTTACTGTATGACAGTCAGGCCCTTTCTCTGAGGAGTATTGATTCGACTCTACGAGGTATTCTAATG